GTGACACTCTCCACCTACATCAATGCATCCTCTATCATGGTACTGTATATAAGCACCTGATTCAATCAATGTTATCACTTTTTCATGACTTACTCAATCCCAGTCTCTAACACCGGCTCTTAGTGGGAGGAAGGGCAGGAGAGTATCAGCGGAGGTAAGTATTATTGGAAATGCATTTTTGATTTAAGAAAATATTAACTTCCAAAACATACTTACCTCACACTTATTGCTAGAATCCCACATTGATAAGGTGGAGGAGCTGGTGAGGGAATTATCCATACAGAAAGCATCTGCATAGTTCATGGGTGTGTCAATAGAAGATTGGCACCCTAGTGGTGGAACCGCACTACATCCAGAACAGGTATGCTCTTCACCCAGAACTTATTTCCTGTATTGTGGGTGGAATTTTACATTATTTATCATCTCTATAGGCCATGCCCCAACCAGATATCCAAGGTTCTACTACTCGGGGTTGGAATTAAAGGCCCATTGGTGGATATAGTAATTCGACTGCAAACTATACACTCATGAGTGGATCCCAACCTGTAGTCATAGAGTGATGCATTCCAAGCCACCGAAATCACGACGAGAAAGTAAGAAACATTGAAATGGACAAACCTTCTCCTCAACCTGAAGAAGTCCAAAAGGCAACACCCCAGGCTCAGAATAACAGAATTGTGTATGCCTTACTCAACCTGAGGGAACAGAACTCATCCAGTCTGGAATTATGAACACTCATCCTCACTCCCCAACCATGTGGGCAAGGTAAATTTCACTTGCCCCCAAAATTATGGGGAGGACATGGAACAACTGTGCTCAACCAAGGACCCAGGTTGGGACCACTCTGCAATCGGAATTACGAGGAGACAGTTGACACTCTCCCACAAACAATGTTTTTGATCAATATTGATCAAAAAGAAAGGATACACTCAACCCAACTGGATAGTCAATCTTCAAATCTGAACTAGTATTACAAGTAGGCTCCAGCATAGGCTGGTGCCACTCCTACCAACCTCTGGGAAAAAACAATCCAGGGACCCTGGTAGGAAGGCCCTCAACTTCACCCTTTTCTCCAAGAATGGAGGAATTAACTCTTAACACTCTGGAGGAAAAGCTTCTGTCCACTATGCCAGTGACTGGAAATCTGGTGTGGTAAGGACTCCCTAGCTCCACTAGTTGAATCTGGGGGGTAATATGCATTGGGGAGTACTGAGGAATAGTGCTCTGGAAACAGTTCAATAGGTGAACCAAGTTCCTTAAATTTTCAAAAGCAAACCAACCATGATTTATTCAATCCAAAGATTGGCAGGTATAGGCAGGATCCCCTTATGCTTTACCCATGATAGTCCATAAGTGGCGGTCCAGCATAGTATAATAATACCACCTGGTCAGCCTCTAGGTGGTCTTATGGAACACCTCATTTCTACAGAGTCTGTTGCAACCTATAAAAAGTATATTGCATTAGTGGTTGCAAGTATGGAACTGATTAGATAAAAACACATCTGTCTGGGCAGCACTCGCAACAGAGTGGGATCCTGTAAAAACGAGGTAAGGGACCCTGAAAGATAGCAATGAAAATACTCACCCCTCTGTGTAATCTATTAGAAATGGTTAAGATAGCTACAGGGAGTAGGTGACTACCCTCAGATGAAGATACTGCTAAATCATTCAAATCATGTGAGAGGTCCACATACAAGTCTGCACAATGACCACCAGCAGGCAATTTAACCAGGCCACTAAGGGCATAGAAATGTGGTAAAACCAATTAGACATTACTCACAGAAGATTTTTTGCCTTCAAAGAGAGCCCAGAATAAAGAGTTGATGTCTAGCATCTCTAAAGACATTAGTGCAGGCAACAAAACCTTAACACCCTCACTGAACATGACCACGATCAAAATCTGAAAAACAGGTCTGAGGACATAGAGCGAATGATAAAGTGGTCTGTAAACAAACAGCACAAGTCACTCTGACCGGCAATGTCTGTAGGTCAGCAGCCATGAAAAATAAACCTTCAGCTAAAGGAGATACATGACATATAAGAATCAGATCACGAACAAGTGTTGAAAAAGAGCACGTAATGTAACCTTAATATACCTGTTAGGTAACCAGAATGCTCATTTGGGACCAAGAACCCAAAGCAACTTGAACAATCTGGAGAGTACTGGAAACTCAAAGAATATTTAGTCAGGAAAATCAAACGGTAGTCGACAATTCGTTTCAAATAGGGCAATTGCGGAAGATGCACAAAAACCCTACCAAATAGCCAGGTAAAAAAAAATGAGTTATGGTTGGCACTTCTGATCGAAGTGGATTCAATTTCCTCTCAATACACCATTGCCAACATGCGTGTCATTTCCATGGATAAAGGTTCATCTCAGGACTAAGCAAAAACTGAGACAGATACATAGCAACCTCAGAAATTAAACCCTGATGATGTACGAAAGGCTGCATAACCTATATGACTGAAACTTGAGCTTCTGGATACCCGGGTGTACCATGTCAGATCATGATTGCCTCCACGGAGATGATCTAAGAAGAAGTGGAAGAGGTGGACACTCCATAAGGTACCACAAAAGCAAAAACCAAGGTAAAGCTGCCAAGCAGGTGCTATCAACAGGGTCCTAAAATGAGTTTTAACAAATCACAATCAGTACCCTGGGTAACATGTGATATGGATAGAAGGCCTAGAGTTGTAGTCCCATCCTGACAGAATACATCCATTGTCAAAGCCTGAAGGTGAGGTACCAGAGACCAAATTGCCAGTAGTTGGGTGTTCTAATAAGAGGCCAACCTACCAATCAGAGTTGCAAAATGAGAGCAAATCCAACAGAACCTTGTGATGCAGCATCTATTCTGTTGAGAGAATCTGTTTGGGTTGAGACAATTGACCTGCTACCACAGTTATCACCCGTGGTACATGGCAAGCTAGTAGGGTGATATGATAGGAATGGCATCGAGAAAGGAGATCCAAGATTTGAAAACAAGGAGCCCTGGACCAAATGCCTCCTCGATGATAAATACAAAACACCACCATGAAATTGTCAGAGTGAAGCCTGATAATTTTCCCCTTCATAAGCCCAGACTATGAGGCATTGCCTTTTGAATAGCAAGGAGGACTAAAACATTGTGTTGGGAAGCCTCGTTGTCTGTGCATAGACCCTGAAATTCCTGACTGTTGGTATATGCACCCCATCATATAAGCAAGGCATTCGTGAAGAGTTGGAACTCTGGAGAAGGTTGTGGTAGAAGAACCCATATCTTAGTAGTGTCCCGACTTAAAAACTCCTTGAGATCAAAGTATGATCCCAACTAAGGATTCGAGTGATACCCACATTCCCAGGGGAGAAATAACCATCAATGCAGTGGAAGATGGAGAGGTGATTAAGAGTCTGGCTTCCTATTCCTTGGATTAAGCAGGATGGGAAACAGCTGAGCCTGACTGAGAGATGAGATGAAAAATAAAATACGCAGACTGATGACATATTGAATTGGAGCAAGAATAGATGGGAACTGAATGACTAATCCTGAGTCAATGAACTGTAGTGCTCCTGGATCAATGGTTAAGGTTACCACACATCAAGAAATTATCGGCACCAAGCCCTCACATATTCTGAAGGCATACAATAATCACCAACATCACTGGCAGTGATCTGACCAAGCAGTGGAATCCTTGGATATAGACAGAATCTATTCTGGGTACCAATGTACCAAGGGGTTGATGCTGGGGGGTTGGACCCACAAATAGGGGTGGAACTATGATTCCCTATAGGAGCCAATAAAAATCAAGATGCCAACAACAGCCTGGGATGAATGTAGAAGCCGACAATTGAACCAACGTGCATGCTAATAACAGTTCCAGCTCTTCATCAATGAAGTTGGTGATCTTGAGAGTCTTTCAACATAGTGAAGTTAAAGGAAAAGAAAATGTTGGATTTTAGAGTTGTAAGTCCATAGACTCATCCTGTCCCATCAGGGGACATTGATCTATTTATGTTAACTACAAACTCTGCCTACTAACCTCGAAATTCGAGGAACAGTTACATTATTTGAGAGTCGGAAAATGCTTCTACGTGGTACTGGTAGGCTAAATCACGAAGTTCTGACAACCTTGTCAGATAAAGCATAACTGTCCTTTCATGTAACTGAGAAGTAAACTTCCTTGCAAGAACCACAATGTGTATGGATAGAGAAAAAACAAAAAATTTGCTCCCAGACCTTTCAGCCATCAAATAAGTTGCAGGCTCAAAAGCAAACAGGGAAAGACCTAAAATATCACACTCTCAATGAATCAACTGAAGAAAAGAAAACTGACTGAATCATAATAATCAGGAACACTAATTTTGATCAGTTGACTATTTATGTAATATCAATCAATTAACCATAATTTTTGATTAATCGTTTGGTTTACAAGATACTAATTGGTGTAATCACTGCTCATAGATAATTGCTTATATCAATTAGACTGCCTAACTACGGTGGTGATAAAGTAGGACATTTAATTTGACTTCTAACAGCATAATATGAATACATAAAAGTGACTGTGCAACACTTCCTAGATTCACATAATACTGGTCATTATAAAATTTGTCGAGGTTCCTAACAATAAAGCATGAAGACATACATCACTAATAGAAGTGTGAAATATCACAATAAAAAAAACGTTTTTGGATATGGTGAAGCATCAAAATGTGAAATGGTTTAGAAGATTGAAAATTAATACTATTTTTCTTAAAATTTGGTTAATTACACAGGATTTGTCTGTAAACATATAAAAGACAATCCAAAACTTTTACAGTTTAACATGAAAATGCATTACAACTCTTACATGTGGCTCATTTTGGAGAGGTTTTTCTAATTGGACTTCAGAGTTGACAATATTTTCCATCCATTGTTGGACTTCTTCTGTAACACCACACCCTCCAGAATGACCTGTTCTTTCTGCAGAATGTGGATCTTGCACATCTGTGCTCATATAAATAATGGAATGGAATGGTTTACTGGCATTTTTAAAGTACTTGTGAGCTCGTTCAACAAAGTACGTTTTATCCAATGTGTGGATTTTCCCATCAAATAAACCATCACTAATAGAACCATACACCATAGAACCTTGTTCACCTTTAAATACAAAATAAAACCAATCATTTAAAATTTATTTCATACTTTTCAACAATAAAAGTACAATAGTTCTAAATATGTATATATAAAACAGGTGAAATTGCACCTGAATTACACTGTACAATTTGTACATTTTGACTTCAAAAGTTTCATTGGCTGTGCTCCAGGTTTTATTTCTTCCCAAAATGCTTTCTTTTTTTTTATCTCTTTTGATTTTAGTATCAATAAAATATATATTTGAGTTATACTTTATTAACTGTCAAAATAGAAAATAATCTTTTATATTTACAGTAGTACAAGATCCTCTTAAAAACCGTGTGACCTTATTTTTTCCTTTAATAATAAGTGTTTTAATTCTAATGTAATACCAATATAGTACCCATTCAGCAAAAGAGAAAAACCAAATAAGTCAGAAATTGTTTTCTGGTCTTACTAAAACAAAGCTCATATATATATTACAGTCTTGCATGCTAAATATTCTTCACTTGAGAGTGAATTTCAAAACTCAAGCTTATGTCAACACATGAAAATAGAACTTCTGTAAAACCTTATGCATAACTACAAATTTCTTTATAGCTACAAAAAAATTAAAAAGGCATATTTTCTTTTTATTGTTTAAGCGAGCTAAGTTGAGGTATTTTCCAACATTATGATCTCTATCTTGTGATAGCTGGCTTTCTCAGAAATATTCTCCCTCAAACATTATATGAAGTGTAACAAATTTTAAATGAAGGTACAGTAGCCTTCTACAGAATAGTCATCTAACAATGACTATATAGACTTTGAAAATACACTATTGTTTGGTAATGTTGAATGAATGATTACAGTTAATTGCATATGCTTATTTTTTAAATAATTTTTATATTATTTGTACGGAAATACATGTACACAACATAATCTTACAATTATGCTTGTCTAAAGCATTCAGCTCCTAAAGCAAAAGATAATCTATATATGAAAAAAATTACATGAAAAAAGTTACCTGACGGTTTATAAAAAACTTCTATTATGATTTAAATGTTTGGTAGATTTGCTAAACTGTTCAAGATGTCATAAATAATTGTATAACTAAATTTTGTTTAACCTACTGTAAATATGAAAATTTCTATAATTCTTAAGTATTTCATGAAAACTAAAATTTAGAATTCTCTTGAACATACAGAAAAATATTTTTCTAATTATCCATCACAGCCATAAATCTTGTGTAACAAAGCATTGGTTAATTTTTACAATTAAAAATGTATAGTGCTATTTTTAATTTAACTTGAATATTTAACCTTCTGGAATTGATTTTAATTTTTATAAAGCCCACTATTGCAATGCCCTGTAGAAAATTGTCTGATTCTGTGAAAAAAAAATGTTGTATTAAAGAAAAAAAGGGCAAGATTGAAGGGTAATACACCCAAAACCAGGAGCTCATCTTATTCAACCTTACCTTTTCGTGAAACTCAAGAAGTTTCATTATCTTTATTCAAAATATTATCTGAAAATACTTGTATCGTGTATGTATATATATATGCCATGAAACAATACATTGTAGATCAACATAGCTACAAACTTCATTTCATTACAGCAAAAATACACCAGCTTCCATTACATAGATGTAAAATGAAAGTTTAAAATATCTAACCCTTTTTTTACCATGTTTCATGAGTTTTACTTCAATTAAATACTTTTTGTTTTGTTTTTATTCTTATTTTTAGTTTTTAACTTTTTGAAAATGCTTCAACATTTAATGTAAAACTTACCAAACAAATCTCCTTTATAAAGATGAGATATATCAACATTAACTAACTTTCCAGCTGGAGTGTCAATGACTAGATCTGGGGAGAACACTGAAGTGTCTCTCTTTAGTCTAAGATGAAACTTTCTGTACAAAAATAAAGTAAGGATAAACATAACCATAGATATTTCTTATGAAAATCACCTAACCCTTACATGAACATTTTATGATTTTTGATCTTCACATATGAACATAAAAATTTATTAGATCATTCATATGAAAGCATAAAACATTTGATATACACAAGGTCTTTTTATGAGAACTGCAATATTAAATTAAACGTTTCTCAAAATGTGAAAACAAAAACACGCTTTTCTTCCAATTTTCAAACTGTGAACTTCTCTTATGTTGTCAAGTTTGATTTTTACCACCAAGTGTTAAAAAAAAGAAAAAATCAAGTCAATTTGATAGAGATTGCTTTTAAAGTTCCATCTATACATTTATGGTTGTAAGCAGCCTTTTGATATAATCACTCCTCAGATGTGTGCCACACAATTTATCACAGTTAAGGCCATTCTAATTAAACACTGACTACACATCACAGATATGCCTATCTCTCTCTAGATTTTACTACATGAACATATCTGCATTCATAAATATTTTGCAGCTTAGTTGCAAGTTACAGGATGTGTTCAGCCTTGAACTCTAATCTTACCCTTAGGACAGTCTCCCACATTTACATACTCAAAAACCTATGACTTATCTACCTTCATACATGGCCTGCTTGATAAACAATCCACTAAGTCTCAGCAGGTTGTCTGGAATGGTAGTCATATGTGAAGATAAAAAGTTTGTTTATTCTGTAACTGAGGCTTACCTGGTGATGTATTTTATAATAAATACCATAAAATGGCAAACAACTGTAAATAATTGGTCATACTTTTCAACGCTAAGTTCATTTTCTTGTCTAGTTGTCACCTACAATTACACAGATTAGCTAACCTCAAAAGACAAATAGTGAATGCTTTTCATATCTTTTTTTTTTCTTCTTCTTCTTCAAAAACTATACCATCTTTATTTATTTCAGAAATGTGTGCCTGTCTCATTCATTTGTTGGTTGAGTCAAACTTACTGTTTATTAACCCTCTGAGTACAGGTGGGTCAAAATGCAGGTCACAACCTTTTAAAAGTTACATTCAAAATTTAATTAAAAACTTTATTAGCAATGTATATTGAGAAACATGGAACCATCAAAATGTAGTTTACTATTCAAATGTTAATAGTGTACAAGTTATAATTTCATAATTTTAACAAGAAATCAATTCTCATTTTCCCTTGTCTTTATCATGTGACACTTCTTTGCTCCAAATTGCCCATTTTAGAAGCTATTCAACCTTTATATGACCTCTTAACTTTCCATGGAATTTTACACTTATACTTTAGACATCCCTGAGCTAAAATATCAATTTGTAGCCTTCAAGCTTTACCGAGATATATGCAAACCTTATTTACACCCCTCAAGCACATACTGTCTTTCAAAAAATGTCAATAATTCTCTACAACATTTGGTGCTGGATTATTTCTAATCAATATAAAGAGGATATTCAAATTTTTTGAATGTGAAAAGGCTAAAAACCCTTGGAATAAGCAGTTTTTAATATTTTGCCACCATTGCCATCATTCTGCTTCACCAGGTATGGGAATTATTTAACTGACTTTTAGATTACTTAGAAAACTAGATAAATTTTTAGCTTTAGAATATTCTATTATATATTAATGGCAATATTTCCTATATTAAATTGTATATTAGAATCTTAAATGCAAATAATTTCTAAGACCATACTATCATTATTAAGATTTAGGTCCATAGTTTGATGTAGGCTTCTGTTGTACAAGTACAAAAGCTTAAGAAAGTTTGTTGTTTTAGAGCAAAGCCACACTGGGTTTACTTTGTGCACCGTATGGAATGAAACTCTGGATTTTAGAGTTGTAAGCCTATAATCTAATCATTATCCCACTAAGATTTCAGACAAAAAGAACTAACTTTCTTGGGTTTTTTATGTGTATTATTTACATATTGTTATAAAGGAATTAAAATATAAAAATTATAAATGTATTAGGTTAGATAAAATATAAATAAATAAATAAATAAAAATACTTGTGAAGCACGCACTCAGCATAAGTGTGATTGTATAATTTGAGGAACGTGTACTGGTATCTTGACCCTTCGTTTACTCAAAGCTGTTCTGCATAATAACTAACCTAATGGTACTCTGAAACTGTCTAAATTTAGCTGTTAAGAAATTAAACTAAATAACAGATCTAATAGCTTTGTTAAAAAAAGTGCATAATTGTCTGTTACAATGGAGTCATTTTAAAAAGACAAAAAGGGTAATTCTGATATACTTAATATTTTTTTTTTTCTTCCATGATGATTCCGAGTTCATTTAAATTTATCAAGACCAATACAGATAGTGTCAGGGTAAAGCACATAATGAATAAAATATAGTTGTACTGAAAGTTAACATTTTCCAACATTGAAAATGTATTTCTGATAGATACCTCTATTCCCATCTAGCTTTTCCAATTCAGTGCTGTCCTCTATATGCAAACCTTTTCACTCAACACTAGCCTTGAGGCTCCCACCTAATCTCATGTGTTTCCACTGTTACATGCAAAAAAGCATGCAATATCCCTCCACCAATAGGAGTATGACACCACCTCCTAGTGCTGCTGGCTCCTTCTATACTGGTTGTTCAATCATCACTTTGAGATTAGGCAAGGAAGTAAGATGCAGTGTAAGTTGGGAGGAATGGTAGCAAATGTGAGAGGATGTGAGTATTTTTCAGAGATAAATTTAAGTGTTAGAAAATGTAAACTTCCTATACCATACATAAACTCTGTTCACATCTAGCTAGAATCCCACACTGAAGTTGTGGAAAAAACCAATGTAAAATTTTATGTATGTGAGCCCACTTCAGGAAGCTTCTTGAAGAGAACCCATGGAGTGCGACACCCTATACCTTAGAACAGTATAGGGGCACACTTCTAGGAGACCAAACCTAATCTGTACCAGGATACACTCTTTGCCTGGAAAGGAAGGGAATTGTTGTAAGGATGGAAGATACAATCACATTCCAAAACCTGCAGCAGGCTATTGGAAGTGCTTTATATGTTTAGCATCAGACTGTACATGGTGGGTCAACTCAAGTCCAAAACCAGGTAGCACCGAAAACTGGCTTCCAGGCCATGGTAGGAGGAGTGTCTCTACCATCTACACCTAAGGCCCAGTGAGGCAGAATGAGAAAGAAACATCTGCTCTGCAACTGAGTGAGGACTAATGTTGGCTGGTCCTGCATCAATCCAATAACAAACCACACAAAAACCCAACTTCCAGGTATTTGTAGGGTGGGGAAAGACATAAAGAGGGGTGAAATGTACAATGTGGACAGAACCACTGCCCTACTCTCTACTGAATGGAATTGGACTCACTCAGGAGGCATCCTCAATGGTCCACCACCCCAGCAGAAATGATGAGTAGCAAGGACTCCCATGCTAGACTATAAAAAAAAAATGGAGGATGAAGCACAATGAAGAATTTGGAGATGCGCATCACTGTAAGACCGTGCAATTAGTAGACAACACTAGGTTTTAAACCAGGCATTGGGAATGTGCAGAATTCCCCTACCTGTTTTACTCATACTAGTCCATGAGTGGGTATAGTCTGGAATTGGGACTTGTTTAAGAAGATGAGCACCACGAGGGTACCTCGGGTGGTCTTGTGAAACACCCCATCTCCTGAGTGAATAAGTGCTATATTGGACCAGAACAGTCCTACACTGTGCAGATTTTGATTAAGTGTACCCTGGCAGGCAACACTTGTCACCATGAGGGATCCTTTAAGGGACTAGAGTGTTTTGTAAAATGAGAGTAAGAAAAAACTTACCCAAACAGAACCAGTATGATGAGTGAAGAATAGACTGGAGGCAGCCGTAGCCAGATGAGGAAGAAATGACCAAATAATGGAGATTGCATGTGACAAAGGTGTGAAGAGTCATCCACATGCCAGCTTGAATAATCTTCCCCAACAACGAAAGTGAGCAGCCAATGAGCGAGTTGGGTGACAAATTTGAGGGGAGGACACCTGGAAGTTAACATCTTCCTTACCTGAAAATGTATTTCCAATAGATAGCTACCTCTTCTCACAGTTATCTTCCTCATGTGTCCGACTTAGAGATTTGCATGTCACCTAATCTCATATGATCTAACACGAATTGTACTAAGACATGATAACATAATCATGCAGCAAAGCCCTCCATCAAAAAAAGGGCAATACACTTACATGCATGCTAACTTCCTCTATAAATTTACCCTCATGAATCTTCATTCTTTGATGAGGAAAGGAATACAAAGATGCACTGGAAGTTGAGAGAATGGGTTGGAATGTGTGCAAGAGGTAAGCATCTATTGGAAATACATTTTCAGGTAAGGAAAATATTAACTTCCAATACAATACAACACTCCTTCATACAGTTTATCTAGAATCCCACATTAAAATAGTGGAGGAGCAAGTGCAGACTCTTAACTTCAGAAAGTGTCCAGAGGAAGCCTGAGGGCAGGGGCTCCATAGGGGCACATCCGTGGTAGACCACATCTCATCTCTTCCATGGTATACTTTTTGCCCATGAAGAAAGGAAGGAAAAGGCAAATGAGCTCCATGTGTTGAAGGGATAGGTGGAACAAGAACATGGTCATCCAAGTACTTGCACACAAGGGGTCAGAGAGCCAATACTTGTAGCATGGTTGGGATACATTCAGACTATACCTTGTGTGCTCGCCTCAACTCTACCATCACACTATTGGACTGACACCAGCTACAGGAAAAGAGAGTGGTATGATATGTGCCAATCTTGACTCAACTGAAAGATAGCTGAAGGAAGAGAGCATGTTTTGTTAGTGCATGCTCAGCTCAATTCAACTGAAAAGTTAACAGGAGCAGGGCAGATGTGTATAAAGTGTGCTCAATTCATGTCTACTGAACAGACACAATCACAGGAAAATGGCATGGGATAGTGAGTCATGCTCGCCTGAACTCAACTAGAATGTTGTAGGCTGCAGGAGGAGGGCACAATATTTTACAGGGTGGT